TTCCTTAGAGCTTTGAGCATAAATACGGTCATTTTGTTTGCTAAAATGTTACTCAATTGTAAAAAATTTCTCATCCGTATACAAAATTTTTCTATTCTGGGAGGTCCTTTCCGTACCGCTTCAGTAGTTGTTTCGATTTTACCACCCTATTCTCTTTTAAATTATCAGTTAAGAAATGACCAGTACGTCTCACATAGGCTGCAAGTCCTAAGTCATCTTTTAAAATACGCGACATGGTTCTAGGTGCTATCTTCATCTCCCGAGATAAAATCTTTTGTTTTCGGACAGGATTTCTTCGAATTCTTTCCCTTACTGCTTTGACCACCTTTTTCGTACGAACACTACGTGGACGGTCAGATCTTTTTCTGTCACAAACAGAGGAGGTCTCATTGCACCTATTAATAGCCCGGTACACAAACATTTTATTAATACCAAGCGTATGGAGAGTTAAAAATTGCATTTGGCTCCATAGCTACTTTGTGTAATGCAATCACAGCGATTCGGTTCTCTTTATCACCCCACTCCATTTTAATATCGCAATATATTGTACAATGTATTGGCGCCAAAATGAGAAAACTCAATGAGCAATCATATAAAAATGACAGATTCCAATTTCAAATGTGATATTTATTTTTGTTTATTTTTAATTGTAACAGTATTAATGGCCAGACTAAGTATGTTTGTAACGGAATATTTGAACATGATTTTGACCCCCTTCAAAACTTCGGATTAACTCGAAATTTGGTATATTAATAGGGGCTGATGACAACTCAAAATAAAAAATAATAATTGAGAAATTGAAATTCAACTAAAAAATTTAAAATAAATAATAGTTTAAAAAAACTAACAAAATACGCTTTTATAGCAAATCCAAATAAAGAATAGAAAATAAATTTTAATAAATTTGAATTAAAAATAGTGTAAGAAAAAATGAGTTTATTGTATAAAAAGCGTGGGGTGGAGGGTATAAGTAGTTATTAATTTGTTTTATGGACAGATATGAGTAGAAGGGTTATTTTGATAATATCCTGAAAAGCACTCCATTTTTTGTATAAAAATTTTAGCTTTGCCATAAGCTCAGGGAAATTTTACCTCCCGATCCACTAACGGTGCTTTTAGGTAACTCAAGCACCGGTCACCGTTCTCGTCGAACCCGTCACTTGCGACGAAGGGCTTGACGAGTAAATTAACCCTCAGACACAGCCCACTGAGTTTCTCGCCGGATCTTCTCAGTGGGTCGCGTTTCCGATACGGTGGTAGATTCTGCGAAGCACGGCTCTTGCTAGGGTTCGTGTTAGCAACGTCGTCAGGTTTGAGCTCCGTCAGCTCACCTACTAGTTAAGGTTCCGCTGAAATAGCTACTCAAGGCTATCAGCTTAAGTACAAAAATTTTTTTTTTTATCGAAATAGAGTGAAAAACATTCACAAAAAAGACGACGACTTGGTTTTAATTAGCTCTTTCAGCGCACGCAGTGGAAGCTCTCAAAAGGGAAAAAAAACCCCGATTTTGAAACATTTTTATTGGTGCTCTGCTTGCATTGGCCTCAGCGTGATTTTATATAGCCTAAGGCCTTCCTCGATAAATGGGCTACCTAACACTGAAATAATTTTTCAAATCGGACCAGTAGTTCCTGAGATTAGCGCGTTCAAACAAACAAACTCTTCAGCTTTATAATATTAAATTAAAATAAAGTATAGATTTATGAATGAAATGAAGTTGATTAATATGAAACATGGCATGAAATGAAATGAAATGAGATGAGATGAGATGAGATGATATGGGATGAAATATAATCTCAGTAAAATCGTGGTCATTTACTGAGACTTTTTCAGTGGAATTTTTGGAGGATCCCGAGAAGTTACGTTCAGCTGGTTTGTTTCATTTTCCCATATTTGTGCACTTTCACAGATACTAAACAGTTAATAAACCACCATTATACATTTAAGCCTGAAGAAATACTAAATAGACAAAATAAAACAAATCACACAACTTCACTCCTCGCGTTCCCGCAAAAAGTCGGGACTGGATGTGAAAGGAAAGAGACCGAAGAGAATGAGGTGCATTCAAAAATACCTACACTCAGCATTGGATGAACAGAGTAAGGAAGGAAATATGTATAAAAAAACGTATATAAGTGTATATGTCAGTCTCTGGTAAACTTTACACAGAGAATCCTAATTGGAGGCTGGATGAGTGTGTGATTTGTTATATAGAGCTGGCTTAATGTGTTTCTCAAGTTCAGTGGAAATTCCGTTACGTATCTACCTGTCAGGCGTCCAAAATCGCTTTACATAAGATGGCCCGTTACTCAGTCGCCCATATATGCCAAGTAGATAAAATAATATAAAACTTTTTGACATAGGAGCTTCGATTTCAGATCGTAGTAGGCATTACTGTAAAATGGTAATTGTATGATAATTTATTTATAAAATGTTGCTAGCGTAAATATTGTCATAGCAATGAAAACGTCGAAGTCTGAAATTTGAATTCACAAACAAGGCTGAATAAATAGTGTTGTTAATTATTGAATTCAGTCTTTTAAGCCTTTTTTCGTTAAGGATTTAGTTAACTATGTTAACTATTACATTGAGAATCATTCTGTTTTTGAAGGGAAACTTCTTTAGGCGCGTTGAAAGTAAACTTTAACTCGCGACAGATTCGTTACGCCTATTTTTTTCTTTTTTTTTTCCTACCTAAGCTGATAGCGTTGAGAGGCTATATCAGCGTAACCTTAACTAGTAGGTGAGCTCACGGGGCTCAAACCTGACGACGTTGCTAACACGAACCCTAGCAAGAGCCGTTGCTTCGCAGAATGTACCACCGGATCGGAAACGCGACCCACTGTGAAGTAGGCATGGTCGTTGCGCAACGTAAATGGTTATTGAAACTATCTATAGACAAAATAGCGGTTAGCTAGTTTCGCCGTACTGCAATAACCTGCTAACGTCTACTACCTCAATCACGTCACCGATCACGAACACAAATCACACAACGTTCGGCAATATTCGTTTTACTTCGTACCGCTCGGTCGGCAGCTATCGCGACACGCAGCGCAAACATCGGTTCGATCGAAATAGACAATCATCATTTTGTCTCTTTCACGCACACGACTGAGATGCATTTGACCTTTGACTTTAGCCCTTAAAGCCCTTAAAATAAGATTTATAAAATTAAATTATGAGTGCAAGCTGAAGTCGAATTTTGTGGCCTTGAACCAGNGTATAAAAAAACGTATATAAGTGTATATGTCAGTCTCTGGTAAACTTTACACAGAGAATCCTAATTGGAGGCTGGATGAGTGTGTGATTTGTTATATAGAGCTGGCTTAATGTGTTTCTCAAGTTCAGTGGAAATTCCGTTACGTATCTACCTGTCAGGCGTCCAAAATCGCTTTACATAAGATGGCCCGTTACTCAGTCGCCCATATATGCCAAGTAGATAAAATAATATAAAACTTTTTGACATAGGAGCTTCGATTTCAGATCGTAGTAGGCATTACTGTAAAATGGTAATTGTATGATAATTTATTTATAAAATGTTGCTAGCGTAAATATTGTCATAGCAATGAAAACGTCGAAGTCTGAAATTTGAATTCACAAACAAGGCTGAATAAATAGTGTTGTTAATTATTGAATTCAGTCTTTTAAGCCTTTTTTCGTTAAGGATTTAGTTAACTATGTTAACTATTACATTGAGAATCATTCTGTTTTTGAAGGGAAACTTCTTTAGGCGCGTTGAAAGTAAACTTTAACTCGCGACAGATTCGTTACGCCTATTTTTTTCTTTTTTTTTTCCTACCTAAGCTGATAGCGTTGAGAGGCTATATCAGCGTAACCTTAACTAGTAGGTGAGCTCACGGGGCTCAAACCTGACGACGTTGCTAACACGAACCCTAGCAAGAGCCGTTGCTTCGCAGAATGTACCACCGGATCGGAAACGCGACCCACTGTGAAGATCCGGCGAGAAACTCAGTGGGCTGTGTCTGACGGGTTCGACGAGAACGATGACCGGTGCTTGAGGTACCTAAAAGCACCGTTATTGGATCGGGAGGATTCGAAATGACGTGGTTACGGCTAGAGAAAGATACAAATTAGGAAGAGCGAGAGTGAGAAAGTAGACAGGGCGTCTCGCGAACCACTCGACTGTGGAGAGAGGGAACGGAAAGTGAGTTTGGTAGGCAGCGGCTTGGTTCTGCCGCTGGCATTGCTGAAGTCCATGGGCAACGGTAACCACTAACCATCAGGTGAGCCGTATGCTCGTCTGCCTACAAGGGCAATAAAAAAAAAAAAAAAAAAGCTAGATCGTTATTTGGTTTAGCGACACATATTGGATTTCATATAAATCACTATATTTGGAAGGCCAACCATGTGAACAGTTTGGTTTCTAAAATATTTAGAGAAAGCAGTATTTTTTATACAAGTGTAATATATTAAACAAAAGTATGTAATGTTTTAGATTGTCACTAAAAATATTATGAAGTAAAACCTAAAGGACTCATTCGGTAATAATCGAATACCGGCAACAACGAAATAACTTCATTATTTCATAAATATTATTCCATATTTAAGGAAGCCGAAACTAAGGGGCTTTTCCTGAAGAAATTTCGAGATCTGACGAAAAAATCGTAAATTCATTGATGTCCTATATTCAAGTAGCTTAAATTTACCAAATAAAATTTCAATTTGGAGTCTCAAGATCAAATTGCACAAACAAAATTTGTTATTTTGATGGTGGCCAGTAACTTAGAATTGTTCTTTATATTGCTTAACGTTGTTCTATGAAATATTCGATTCTGAATTTGGGGACAAATTATGAACTAACAGGGCATTAGCAGGTTCTGTGACAAGTAAAATTGAAATGGATCCAGTAAGATGACAAACTTTTTTAGGGAAAAAAGTATTTGTATCTACGCCTACCGTGTGACGTTCGACGAATATTTCTGAGACATGTTTGGAAATGGTCGGTGCCACTGTTTTAACGTCAGAAAAAACTGGACACAAGAATTAAGAAAATCATTTATTTGTAAACATTCTAATATACATTAATATTGTTTACGTAGGAATCACAATAAGCCGTAATCAGCTTTAATGATATCAGCTCCTTTATCAGCAATCATGATAGTAGGAGCATTTGTATTCCCACCGACAATCTTCGGCATCGAACTGGCATCAATGACTCTCAGTTTCTTCACACCATGTACTCTCAGTTTGTCATCAATTACCCCAACTCCTTCAGGACCCATAGCGCAAGTAGCGACAGGATGCCAGAGAGTTGTAGCTACATTCAAAGCAAAACACTTCCAATATTTTCTGGTATTAAACTTGTGATTTTTGCATTGTTTTACATTTAGGTTCAGAGGTTGCGCGTGAGTTTTTCTCATATGTTCTGTATCGAGCACGGTCAAAAAGTCTTCTATGTATTTTGCATGATTTTCTAAATCTTCATCCTGAGAGTAATAGCCTGTGTAAATTAAGGGAGGTTCTTCAGGGTTTTTGCTTTTAAGAACAACTTTACCAGTTGATTTTGGATACAAAAGGACTACAAGAGCTAAAATAACACCTTTTTTCTGTGCTGCCTTCGCCATAGACACGCAAATGCTGTCAGCCAAACCGAATACAAAGTTACAAATCCAAACAGGAATTACGGTACCAACGGGATATACGAAAAATTTTACTTGGTAGTCTGGTATAGTTTGCGTTTTATTGACGGCAGCGAATCCCATAAGACACGGTACGGGCAACTCATTTAAATTGGTAAATGTTTCAACATTTTGAACAACAGTGATCTTGCTTTTATTTTCAGTTATGATGAGTGGAACAGTGGCATGATCTTGTAAGTTTTTTCCGACGTTTGGTGATTCACTGATAACTGAAATGGCCATCTCAGTTAGATGCTCTTTTGGGCCGATCCCTGACAGCATCAATAGCTGCGGGCTGTTTATTGCACCAGCGGATAGTATAATTTCTTGTCTTGCTTTAATTATCAGTATTTTACCATTTTGAATGACTTCTACAGCTTCTGCTTCTTTTGCATCATTAAATAAAACTTTCCTGACGAAAGACTTTCTTGAAAGAAACAAATTTTTACGATTTTTTATGGGTCTCAAGAAAGCGTAGCCTGTGCTCTGGCGAACATTATCAGCAACAGTAAATGTCGGTAGTGCGTAACCCATCTGCTCCGGTCCGTTCTGGTCCAATAGAACTTTACGTTCATTTTGTTGGAATGCTGTAAAATAGTCGTCTACCCTATCCCCCCAGTCTGGTTTTGTAACACCGAGGTAACCTTCTGTCCCGTGGAAAGATCCAGAGGGGCTCTTCAATATTGTGTCATCTTCAAGTCGTTCACTTTTAATAAAATATGGAAGTACTGATTTGTAGTCCCACCCTTTGTTTCCCATTTCTTCCCAAGAGTCATAGTCATGTCTGTTCCCTCGGACGTAATACANTCAGAAAAAACTGGACACGAGAATTAGGAAAATCATTTATTTGTAAACATTATAACTTACATTAATATTATTCACGTATGAATCATATTAAGCCGTGATCAGCTTTGATGATATCAGCTCCTTTATCAGCAATCATGATAGTAGGAGCATTTGTATTCCCACCGACAATCTTCGGCATCGAACTGGCATCAATGACTCTTAATTTCTTCACACCATGTACTCTCAGTTTGTCATCAATTACCCCAACTCCTTCAGGACCCATAGCGCAAGTAGCGACAGGATGCCAGAGAGTTGTAGCTACATTCAAAGCAAAACACTTCCAATACTTTCTGGTATTAAACTTGTGATGTTTGCATTGTTTTATATTTAGGTTCAGAGGTTGCGCGTGAGTTTTTTTCATGTGTTCTGTATCGAGCACAGTCAAGAAGTCTTCTATGTATTTTGCATGATTTTCTAAATCTTCATCTTGAGAGTAATAGCCTGTGTAAATTAAGGGAGGTTCTTCAGGGTTTTTGCTTTTAAGAACAACTTTACCAGTTGATTTTGGATACAAAAGGACTACAAGAGCTAAAATAACACCTTTTTTCTGTGCTGCCTTCGCCATAGACACGCAAATGCTGTCAGCCAAACCGAATACAAAGTTACAAATCCAAACAGGAATTATAGTACCAACGGGAAATACGAAAAATTTGACTTGGTAGTCTGGTATAGTTTGCGTTTTATTGACGGCAGCGAATCCCATAAGACACGGTGCGGGCATCTCATTTAAATTGGTAAATGTTTCAACATTTTGAACAACAGTGACCTTGCTTTTATTTTCAGTGATGATCAGTGGAACAGTGGCATGGTCTTGTAAGTTTTTTCCGACGTTTGGTGATTCACTGATAACTGGAATGGCCATCTCAGTTAGATGCTCTTTTGGGCCGATTCCTGACAGCATCAATAGCTGCGGGCTGTTTATTGCACCAGCGGATATTATTATTTCTTGTCTTGCTTTAATTATCAGTATTTTACTATTTTGCATGACTTCTACAGCTTCTGCTTCTTTTGCATCATTAAATAAAACTTTCCTGACGAAAGACTTTCTTGAAAGAAACAAATTTTTACGATTTTTTATGGGTCTCAAGAAAGCGTAGCCTGTGCTCTGGCGAACATTATCAGCAACAGTGAATGTCGGTAGTGCGTAACCCATCTGCTCCGGTCCGTTCTGGTCCAATATAACTTTACGTTCATTTTGTTTGAATGCTGTAAAATAGTCATCTACTCTATCCCCCCAGTCTGGTTTCGTAACACCGAGGTAACCTTCTGTCCCGTGGAAAGATCCAGAGGGGCTCTTCAATATTGTGTCATCTTCAAGTCGTTCACTTTTAATAAAATATGGAAGTACTGATTTGTAGCCCCACCCTTTGTTTCCCATTTCTTCCCAACAGTCATAGTCATGTCTGTTCCCTCGGGCGTAATACATATAGTTTGATCCACTACAGCCACCAACCATTTTGCCTCTCGTCAAATGAATATTTTTTTCTGTATGCGCTTGACATGAATAATTGTTCTTAACGGTTCTGTAGTTCCAATCTTCGTACGAGTAATCAACAAATGGAAATAATCCGGGTATCTGTGGATTCATATTTACAATACTTAATATAATTTGTAATTCTTGTTACAAAATGGAAACGTTAGTATTTGTTAATAAACTTTTATTAGCTTAATACGTATGTTATTATGTATGTAGCGGAATCTTTGAACATAATTTCGACCCGTTTTAAAACGTCGAAATAACTCGAAATTTAGCATGCTTATTGTAGACCGTTGACAATTCAATATTGTAAACAGTTAGACCCGCTATTTCGCATATTCGTTATACAAACAAATTCATTATAGCGCCTTATTTTTTCACTTAGCAAATTGGAAGCTGTTGTGTTTGTGTGAATGTACATTAATGAATAATTTATGGTACCTGATGCTACTTAAATTAAAAAAATTAAACATAAATAATATTAAAAAAAAAAAAAAAAACGCACGCTTTTATAAAAAATCCAAATAAACAGAAAATATATTTTTTGTAAAAAAAGCGTGAGGTGTTTTTTTAAGATAATATCAAAATGATAATCCTTCTATTCATATCTGTCAATAAAATATTTATAACTATTGACACCATGCATCTCACGCTTTTTGTACAATAAAATTTATTTACTGTTTTATAGTTAAATTTTCTAGATATACGTTTTTTTTTTGTTTTTTTTTTTATATTATGATTTTTAATTGTTTCGTACGACACGAGCTCACGAACAACTTTTAAGTGGTCACGCATTCCACTAATGATGACCAGGACCACTCTGCCAAGAGTTCAAACGACTGAGAAGGGACATTACAGTACTTGTTCAGTTTTTTAGTTTAGTAACAATAAGTCAATAATTTAAAGCATTCATGTTTTAGGCGCTTTACTGAATTTGTCGTACACTGCAATGAACGACTCGACTATCATCGATGACAATAAAAGTGGGGTTCTCAGCACAAGACGGTTTGGCACCATCAAATTGAAGAGAGAAAACGGAAATGTTGTAACTAGCATTTTGGGCTAAATCACTTTTAATCATATTACATAACATATACATAACAGTTTTTAAGTTTCGGTTTCTATAAATATAGTTAACAAGCGGCCCGCTCCGGCTTCGCTCGGGTCTTTAACAAAAATTGCAACGATATTTGACGTTGTTTTATTTTTTTTAATAAAAGAACACTTAGTGCGGCATAGCTATAATAGTTAGATATAATACACTGTCGCGACACTTTTTGTAAATAATAATATGTTCTACAAAGTCGTAGTACATTATTATATTCTATCATCAATACTTTTCGCAGAGCACGCGATGTAAAGAATATTTAAGGTAATCTTTTTACACTTTGGGTTACATTATTGGAGTTTTAATTTTTTTCAAAAAAGATTATTGCCCATGTCATTCGGGAATAGTGTAGCTTCCAAACAGTGAAAGAATTTTTCAAATCGGTTCAGTAGTTTCGGAGCCTATTCAATACAAACAAACAAACAAATCTTTCCTCTTTATAATATTAGTATAGATATAAGTTATGAATTTTTAAAATAGTTTTATGGCTCTAGTTTAAAGTTGGATTTTTCAATATACCTATACAACAATTCCGCTTTCTTCCGTCGATATGGTTCACCTACTTAGCTTGAAACTGGTAATATCATGTCGAGTAATCGTAATTCGTAACTGCGTCTGTTATTTGTAAGCTAAGTGAAGCAGTAATGCGTTTCGGTTTGAAGGGTGGGGCAGCCGTTGTAACTATACTTAAGACCTTAGAACTTATATCTCAAGGTGGGTGGCGCATTTACTTTGTAGATGTCTATGGGCTCCACTAACCACTTAACACCAGGTGGGTTGTGAGTTCGTCCATCCGTCTAAGCAATAAAAAAAAAAAAAAAATAACCGTGGATTCGATGGAAGGATCCTCTCCGGCCTCCAGTAACAGCACTGTCCAGTTTGAGATCTCAGAGAGTCGGTTGGCCAGGATGCAGCCAGATGAACCCGCGCCGACAATTATTATATCGTAACATGTATTATCTGTTGACAAAAAGAAAACTTTTGTTTAATAGGTATTCTAAGGAAAGAAGACCTAGGAAGTGGGCGTGGCCTGCTGATGTAATACAGCTGCGACTTCAGACTGGTCGGAGTTGAAGAGGGGAGTTGAGGGGACCACCAACATATTGCCACGTTCACGGCTTCTTTCTGATCTCGGCACCAGGGGTGGTAGACAGCCGGACGTGGTACATTCGCGTGTCAACTTTGTAACCCACATTCTGTCATTAGTATTTAAAATCAATAATTGTTGAAAATCGTATTTTTTATCATTCTAATTATATTTTTTTAATATTTTGAGTCGTGATTTCTAATTGTATATTATTTTCTCCTGTTTTCAAAGTCATAGAAACAATTAAGGCTACTTTTACGATCTAATGTCGCGTTTTTTTTTTCATTTTTGTATCGCGTAAAACACGTTATATCAAACATCTGACATGACAATGTAATGTACGACTTATATCGAAAAGAGGTTTCTTTCACCAACTTTAAGACATTCGATCAAATGGAAAATTTTCAAACGTATTAAATACCCAAAACAATACTATAATTATATTATTTCCCAAGGATGGTATTTAGGACCCTACCCACTAAACGACCCTCCTGCACTCTCGCCCGAGCGTCCGATCCCCCGCTGAGGTCAGAACTCAGGCGGAGTGCAGGTTATCGCTGTCAACTGGTGGTAGGACCTCTTGTGAGTCCACGCGGGTACCACCGCCCTGCCTGTTTCTGACGTGAAGCAGTAATGCGTTTCGGTTTGAAGAGCGGGGCAGCCGTTGTAACTATACTGAGATCTTAGAACTTATATCTCAAGGTGGATGGCGCATTTACGTTGTAGATGTCTATGGGCTCCAGTAACCAGTTAACACCAGTTGGGCTGTGAGCACGTCCACCCATCTAAGCAATAAAAAAAAACTACAATCAGACGCGCGGTTCATCAGAAGAACGCCCGGCCGACGGAGCCTTTGAGTCGAATCGAAGGCTCTGGACGTTGGCTGCCTCAGGTCGCTAGCCCGTCAGGCTGCCTAGGGTGCGCCGCTGGTATCCCGGGATACCGCGCTGGGTCATAACCAGTTTGTCGGGTCAGAACGCGATACACCCCCAACCGGTCGCTCTTATGATGACTTCACTCCTGAGAGGCGCTAGAATGCTGGTAGCGCGCCTCGTACTCGACGATTACGACGACTAGTTCGCTGAGCGAACTAACCCATGGACACAAACCAGCTCTGATCCAGTGAAAATTCTGCGAAGCACTGCTAGGGTGGGTATTAGCACATTCTCTCGGGTTGAGCCCCGTGAGATAACCTACCACTCACAACGCAGTTGGAATAGCTCTCTAGGCTATCAGCCTAGTAGGACTAATATGTAGAAAAAGAAAGATACTTACTTTGTAAGACGTTTTGCTCCGGATACCCTCCTACCTTCAAGTTCAATGTTGCCAGTACAGCGAAAACGGCTTGCAATAGCTCCGTAAATGGTTTTAACGACATAACCTCAGCCGATGCAACGATATTGTTGAGCAAGTCCATTTTGATAGCTGTAAAATAAATAAAAAATAAGTTTAATTACGACATTTCTATACTAATATTATAAAGAGGAAAGATTTGTTTGTTTGTTTGTTTCGAATAGGCTCCGAAACTACTGGACCGATTTGAAAAATTCTTTTTCCATTAGAAGCCGACNCCGATGCAACGATATTGTTGAGCAAGTCCATTTTGATAGCTGTAAAATAAATAAAAAATAAGTTTAATTACGACATTTCTATACTAATATTATAAAGAGGAAAGATTTGTTTGTTTGTTTGTTTCGAATAGGCTCCGAAACTACTGGACCGATTTGAAAAATTCTTTTTCCATTAGAAGCCGACATTGTCCCTGATGAACGTAGGCTACTTTTTTTTATTTTATTTTTATTTTTATTTTTTTGTTTCATGTGTGTTTTAATGTTTCCGAAGCGAAGCGAGGACGGGTCGCTAGTGAATGAATATAGAAAGTACAGCGACCGACCGGCATTGTCACATGGACCACGACGACTTTAAAACTAAGTTTACTTAGTAATTTAACTAACCGGTAAGTTGGTCGTATGATATATTATTAAACGATGACCGGTATTTTTTTTTAATGAATTGTGTTTTTTAGGAATGATATTTAAATAAGAATTACATATTGATAAAATGAGGAAATATTCCAAGATCGTTTAGGCATTTTTAAGTGAACACGTGAGTTAAAAAGACACAAATAATATAAATCAACAATTCATTTTCTTGGTCTAACCTTAAACCAAACACTCATTGGCTTCGGTTGTTGCTTAACAACACCATCTGCTGAAGTTGCTTTAGTGTTATTGTGTCTTTAAACCAGTTAGTTGCTCTCAATTATGAAAAATAGTATTATTATTCGCCAATAGATGTCGGGAAGAGTCATAAAGTTGATTGTCGATAAAGATGATTTCAGGCACGGGTCGAAACTCATACGATTTGCACGCTAGGGGGCACGCGGGGTATGTAGGAATTGACGGTCTACAGATGTTGGGAGCAGACCTCGGGACTAAGAATGTTTTTTGGGCCCTACCCACCATACGACTCCCCTTTCACTCTCTCACCCGACGTCTAATCCCCGCCAGGGATCAGAGGTTAGTCACAGTAGGGGGGTTCCCGCGGTTAACACTACAACCAGACTCGCGGCGCCACCCCTAGGACTCCCGACCCACCGGTCGTCGAGGTGTAGTCGACGGCTCTAAGTCAGCCATCTCGGAATGGCGATCAGACTGCTCTAGTTGCTGCTGCTGGTGTCCCGGAATACCCCGCTGGACCAGAACAAGCTGCAGGTTTTTTTTGTTTGTTGCCCACTTGGATGAACAAGCTCACAGCCCACCTGGTGTTAAGTGGTTACCGGAGCCCATAGACATCTACAACGTAAATGCCGCCACCCACCTTGAGATGTGAGTTCTAAGGTCTCAGTATAGTTACCTCAGTATAGTACACCTCATCATCAGCCTTTATCTGCCCACTGCTTGACATAGGCCTTCTCCAATGCCTTCCACACAATGCGGTCCTCCGCCTTCCGCATCCAACGACTTCCCGCCATGCGCACTAAGTCGTCGGTCCACCTGGTTGGAGGATGCCCCACGCTTCTGGTACCCATCCGTGGCCTCCATTAGAGGACTTTCCTCCCCCACCTGGCGTCGCTGGCTCGACAGATGTGACCGGCCCATTGCCACTTTAGCCTGCTAACTTTGTCGTACAGCTTTGTTGTAGAGCTATGTCGTTAACTTTGGTTCTCCGTCGAATTTCTTCGTTCCGGATTTTGTCCCTTAGAGAAATACCGAGCATAGCTCTTTCCATCGCCCGCTGTGCGACTCTTAGCTTATGGGCCAGCCCTGCCGTCCGTGTCCAGGTTTCCGCGCCGTTGGTCATCGCGGGGAGAACGCACTGGTTAAAGACTTTTGTCTTCAGGCACTGAGGCATTTGCGAGGTGAGGATTGCACGGAATTTCCCAAATGCCGACCAATCCAGTCGTATGCATCTCTCAATCTCTGTATTGAAGTTACCCCGGCCAAGCTGGATAGCCTGACCGAAGTAGATAAAGTCTTTTACCTCTTCAATGACTGCATTCGAGATAGTAATTTGGCCCTGGACGATTTGATCGTTGAACATGACTTTCGTGTTGTCAAGGTTCATCCGCAGTCCCACGCATCGGGAAGCAGCATTGAGATCGTTGGGCATACGACTGAGATCCTCCAGCGATTCCGACATTATGACTATGTCATCGGCAAATCGGAGATGTGAGATGTACTCCGTTGACGTTGATTCCACGCGTTACCCAGTCTAGCGTCTTGAAGACATCTTCAAGTGCAGCGGTGAACAGTTTCGGAGATATGACATCTCCCTGGGGGGGGACACCCCGCTGCAGCTTGATAGGTCTAGACTGGTAATCCTGGATTTGTACGGTCGTCGTCGCGGCTACGTATAGACTTTTTAACACCTCGATATAGCGATAGTCTATCTGGCATCGCTGTAAAGATTCTAGAACTGACCAGGTCTCGATAGAGTCAAAGGTTTTCTCGTAGTCCACGAAAGCCACGCAAAGTGGCAGATTATATTCTGTAGACTTTTGTTTAATCTGTCTGAGGATGTGTGAATATGGTCTACGGTATTGTAACCCTTTCGAAAACCAGCCTGCTCTGGTGGCTGGTATTCATCAAGCCTTCATGCGAGACGATTAGCAATCACCCTAGAAAGTACCTTGTAGACGTGGCTCAAAAGAGATATAGTTCTTCAACAAAATTTTATCACCTTTCTTGAAGAACAACACGACCCGACTCCTTGTCCACGCCAATGATATAGTCCTGTTATGTATGACGGAATCGTTCAAGCTCTGTAATTCCTTCAGGATAGGGACCCCTCCGGATTTCAGCAGCTCCGTAGTAATTTCATCTTCAACAGGCGCTCTACCATTTTTGAGGTGTTCCAGGGCCATTCTAATCTCTCCGATGCTGATGTCCGGGACATCATCCGAGTAATGCCGAGTAAGCGGTGCTCGGCTGTCACTAGCTCGGTTGGCGGATGTAGGTAGAGAAGTGTGCATTGCGTAGAGTTTGTCATAATATTTTTCGACCTCACCTAAGATTTCTGGTTTAGAAGTAACTATAGAACCATCTTCTCGCTTAAGCTTAAGCAGAGGAGCAATTTTAGACGTCCGTACGAGGGCTTTAAAGCCTTTATTACGCTGTATCGCAGCTTCAATGCGTCTAGCATTAAAGCAATGGTAGTCACGCCTCCATGTCCAAGGAAATAAACAAAAGAATAGCATGCGGTTGGAAAAAATACTGGTCATTGAAAGAGATAATGAAGAATAAAGATCTAGGTATACATATCAAGAGAAAGACTTTCAACACTTGTATCCTCCCTTGCATGACTTACGGATGTGAGACATGGACACTAACTGACAAACATAGAGAAAAACTTGCTAAAACACAGAGAGCAATGGAAAGAAGCATGTTGAGTATCAGACTTAGTGACAGAATTCGAAATTGGGAAATAAGAAGGAAGACAAAAGTAACGGATATAATAACTCGTATAGAAAATCTTAAATGGAGTTGGACAGGACATATGCTACGTTGCAAAACAAACAAGTGGAGTAAACAGGTTACTTTATGGTATCCAAGAGGGGACACCAGAAGACAGGGGCGACCAAAAACGAGATGGAGCGATGATATACGCCTAACCCTAGGACCATACTGGACCAGAGTTGCTGAGGACCGAGCCCAATGGAGAGAGCTGGAGGAGGCCTATGCCACGAGGCACGCCGAACTCCGAGATATACTATAAGAAATAACAAAAAAAAAATTAATTTCATGGTTATAGTTCGGAAATAAAGGGCTTTATTATTATTATTATTATTAAGTCGTTGGTAAGCACCTGTTAAGTACGTATTTGTTAGAAAAATCGTTACCCGTGCGTTCGTGCGGAGTTTGAAAATGTGATCATGATTATGATCGTGGCTGCATATTTTAATACGAGCACAGCGGGCGTCTTATCCTTTTGACGACGATGACTGTTTTCTATACACGAGGAAGCAAGTTTTTTGATTAAATAAATAAAAACATTTGTAATTATACTGAGACCTTAGAACTCATATCTCAAGGTGGGTGGCGGCATTTACGTTGTAGATGTCTATTGGTTCCGGTAACCACTTAACACCAGGTGGGCTGTGAGGTCGTCCACCTATCTATGCAATAAAAATTTTTTTTTTTTATTATAGTCGAATTTCGACTACTGCGGGACCTCTAGTACATTATTAAAACGTACAATGTTGAATGTCAAATCATGTTATCTCTGCCCCCGGTCCCAAACAANCTTTGTCGGCACTTTGTCAAGTCCATCTCCTTTGGGGCTTCTTTTTGAAAAACGAGTTCATCAAATAGAGCCCCTCCATCTGCAGAAGATTGACAAGCATTTGTCCTCTGTGATTTCTCGACCTCAAACCATACCGTCCGATTATGGATTCGTCTTCCCCTAGTACTCACACTTTGGTCTTGAAGTCGCCAACTACAACGGTGAAGTGGGTCTTGGTGGTGTTATGAATGGCCTTAGAGATGTCTTCATATAAGGCCTCAACCTCACAATTAGGGTGTGTCGCCGTTGGTGCATATACTTGGACGACCTTGAGTAAATATCTCTCTGAGATTTTAACTACGATGTACACCACCCGCGACGACACACTCGATAGCTTCACGACGTTGTTAGCGATGGCTGTTAGGGCGAAGCTAAAATAGCCTCTCAAGGCTATCATCATAGGTAGGAAAAAAAAGCGATGGCATTGTGAACGGTGAACCCTTTTTTTTTTTGGGTAGAGGGCCGAACCTCCTACCAGGTCCCCGCGCAAAAGGGGCGCGCGGGGTATGTGAGACTAAACAATCTGCATGGTGTTGTGAGCAGACCGCGGGCCCAAGGATTTTAGAGCCCACCCACTAAACGACTCCCCTGCACTCTTACACCCGACGTCCGATCCCCTCCGAGGTCAGAACCCGGATGAGGTAGGGGGGCTACCGCGGTCAACACTACAACCAGACGGCGCGGCTCACCCCAAGGACGGCCAGCCGACGGAGCCTTCGAGGCGAATCGAAGGCTCTGAAACGTCAGCCGTCTCGGTACGGCAGCCCGTCGGGCCGCCCAGACGGTGCCGCTGGTGTCCCGGAATACCCCGCTGGACCAGAACCAGCCTGCCGGGTCGGGACGCGATACACCGTCGACCGGTCGCTCTATTCACTCCACGGCAGCGCGCTAGAGTGCTGGTAGCGCGCCGCGCGGCCTCACCCCCTCAGGTCGCTCCTTGACCTTCACTGGGGGGAGGCGCCTACCTACAGGGTGCCGGGACGTACGGGCGTATCCCAGCCTCCGGCCCCGGCTCGGCGGGAACGGATCGGGCGGACAAGGGAAGAGCTCTCCCTCTCTCGCTCCGTCGCCTCCTTCTGCGAGATGGTGGACTCGCAGAAGTCGCGTCGCTGCCGAGCATCGTAGCCACGACGCGCGGTAGCGAGAGGTCCTCTCCAATGAGAACGATGAACCCTTTTTTTTTTTTTTCGGGTAGAGGGCCGAGCCTCCACCGA